ATGAATCCCAACATCATTATTTGTAAAGTTGTCTCTGCTCATTGGAGGAAATTTAGGTGTTGGGTCTCGACATTTTGAAAATATAATTGTTCCTTTCAGCTTTAGGTATCTCTGAAGCCAGGCTCGTAGGAAGCAATTTCAGTTGGTGGGGGAGGGGTGCAGAGCCATACATTTTCAGTTGAGGAGGCACTATCAATTACCAAAATTCCTTGACAATTAATTAATCAAGCATAAAAAAGGTCATCGGAGGTTTTTTTTTTTTTTTTTTTTTTTTTTTGAGGGGGCACAATCATATATCTAGCGATATATTTTCTATCTGAATAGCGGCAAAATTATGGGGAGGGGGCGCGGTAGCTCAATGAGTACAATTCTTGAATCAAAAATTAATTCTTCGGCTGTTTGCAGTTCATCACAGATAAGTTTTTACATCCTCTTATATCAACTAGTCATTTGCTTTCCCTATGATTTCATTGTTGTTGTTTTTGCATTAATTGTCGGATGCAAACAACTAAAAAAATTCCTAGCTTTTTTACCTTTTTTTTTGGGGGGGGGGTTGAAATATTTCAAGGCATAGTAAAACGTTACGTAAGAAGGGTATTTTTAAATTTATACGGTCCTGAACCAGAATAATCAGCTTTATGTCACGTGATTCGGTAATGGAGAAAATGATCCGCTAAAGGAGAAAACATCATTCATACAAGTACAGCGATAATTTTTTATTTAATCAGTGGTTATTGGGAAAAAATATATGATGTTAAAAGTAAAACATAGTACCACCAAACAATGTTGTAAAATGAATTTAACTCAAACGCAGGTACGAAATATCCAAGCAAATTTACTAAGTGATTCGATATCGGCAACCTCACTGTATAAGATGAATTTCTATTGGTAGACTTCGAGTAACTGTCCATCACCTTGTGTGCGGCGGTGAGGCATGGATAATTGTGATTTAATTAGCTGCAGATCTGTAGCGTTATGGTTTTATATATTTGTCTTTGACCATAACGCTACAGATCCCGTAATGCAAAATAGGTGCAATTTATGGCGCAATGTTTTTTGCGCACTTTTGGGGAGAATTTCTCCATTTTCTAGCATTGGTCAATCAACTACCTTTCACTCCCCAATAGTCGTCTTTCATATTTTCATTGATATAAGCAATTTTTCAAGCACACAAGCGGCAGAGTCACGTGATACCCGACATTCAGTGGTGGAATATTACAAAAACATAATCATTTAACTCGATTTTCAGCAATCTAACAAAATAATTTTAATCAAGCAAGTTTATCACTTGTAGAGGCGACTATAAAGGGTTGGGAGATGGATAAAATATACAGATTAGTTAAATAATGTGCCTAGAATTAGGGAGTGAAATGTAGTTGATTGACCAATGCTAGAAAAAGGAGAAATTCTCCCCAAAATTGCACAAAAAAATATTGCGCCATAAATTGCACCTTTTCTGCATCACAGGATCTGTAGCATTATGGTCAAAGACAAATATATAAAACCATAACACTACAGATCTGCAGCTATGATTTAATATGCTGGATATAATCGCCAATACATTATCATGTGAAACAGAACTGCTCACCTTTGTTATTTCATTCAAGAAGTAAATGTTAATTTGATAAAAAATTAACTGTTGTATATATAGGCTTAGCCCCAAAACTTTCAAAACTTTGATTGCAATCAGAGTTTTCCCTAAGAATCGATTAAAGGCCAGATTGACTGCTTCAATTGATACAAATGCTGTGCCTTAGATATAAAAATTGTTGCAAGTTTGACAGGGATTCTGTTCATAAAGGTCAACCCTTAGGCTGTAACAATTGATCTTGAACCCTTAATTTACTTTGCAGGGCTCTACATAAAAGGTGCATGGACACAGATTTGAAGCTAATATTTTCTGTATAATATTACAAGTTGTAATTTACAACCTATATATTTCATTTCATCTAAAAGTTATTGAAACTTCAAATTTTTGGATGGGTTCCTTGCTCTCTCACAAACTTTACTTTTATACTTGATAATTAGGAAAAGTGGAAATCTTGTTGTGTATTAATGAAAAATATTAAAAGCTTTAATCTAGAAAAATAATTATATTCAGAGTAGAAATGTTGGAAAGCAAAACCCCTTCACAAGTATCATCATTCCGCGCTTCGTGTTGTGTACAGAGTTTAGCAAATTAATCACACCCGTGAAACGTACACAGTTTTTGTAAACAGGCACAAGCTCTGTTATTGTTAATGTTTAGGATTCACTGGGTGCGTTCAGTTGTTAAAATCTGTTCACCACAACTGTGTGGACTGACAATATACTGCGTGTTTGTTTTGGTTTCGAACATTTCTACTCTGAATTTTCTGGATTATAGTTTTTATTAGTATTTTTCATTTATACACAAAATATTAACTTCAAATCTGTGTCTATGCATCTTTAACGCTTGTCTGGTACCAGTGAAAAAAAATTACAGACAAGTGAATATTTCTGGGCACTTGTCCGATTGGACAAGTGCATTTTACTGTTAAGGAGTCTCTAAATAGTAATTTAAAGAATGACTGTTGAAAGTTATTGGTGGTTTCAAGATGGAAGCTGTACATAAAACCGGACTTCGTTCCCTATAGTGATCACTATCAATTGAGTTCACATTAGACTGGGATCGAAGTTCACTTAAATTGCATACTACTGGAAGGCATGGAGCTTACTAAGTTTGGATTCTGTATGATGATGACAGGTTCACTTGAGAACTTTTATGTTTTTGTCAGGACAGAAAGTCTACATAAAATTTCATTTTATGTGTGTGTTGTATTTTTCAATAAAATCACACATCAATCAAAATTTATTGAAAAATTTCCGGACAAGTGAAGTTAAAGTTGGGACAAGTAAATGTTTTAGTCACTAGTCCAAATGGACAAGTAGGAAAAAAAGTTAATGTAGTGTCCTGCTTTGAATTGTGGAATATATTATTGCACAGAAAAGAGTGATTTTTTCATGATTTTTATACCCCCCGCAAACGAAGTTTGGGGGGGTATATAGGAATCACCTTGTCCGTCTGTCTGTCTGTCCGTCTGTCCGTCTGTCCGTCTGTCTGTGCAATCATGTCCGGTCCATATCTTTCTTACAGAGGGACATTAGAATCTACTACTCCACATTAAGATTGCTCATAACCTAAGGGTGTGTCATGACCTTGACCCAAGGTCATTTGGGGAAGTTCAAGGTCACTGGAAGAAAAATTTCATAATTCGTGTCCGGTCCATATCTTTCTTATGGATAAACTTGGTAGGTTCTCATTTCACACAAAGATTGCCCATGACCCAAGGGTGTGTCATGACCTTGACCCAAGGTCATTTGGGGAAGTTCAAGGTCACTGGGAGAAAAATTTCAAAATTCATGTTTGACACATATCTTTTATGGATAAGCTTGGTAGGTTCTCATTTCACACAAAGATTGCCCATGACCCAAGGGTGTGTCATGACCTTGACCCAAGGTCATTTGTGGAAGTTCAAGGTTACTGGAAGAAAAATTTCATAATTCGTGTCCGGTCTATATCTTTCTTATGGATAAACTTGGTAGGTTTTCATTACACATAAAGATTGCCCATGACCCAAGGGTGTGTCATGACCTTGACCCAAGGTCATTTGGGGAAGTTCAAGGTCACTGGTAGAAAAATTTAATAATTCGTGTCCGGTCCATATCTTTCTTATGGATAAACTTGGTAGGTTTTCATTTTATACAAAGATTACCCATGACCCAAGGGTGTGTCATGACCTTGACCCAAGGTCATGTGGGGAAGTTCAAGGTCACTGGAAGAAAAATTTAATAATTCGTGTCCGGTCCATATCTTTCTTATTGATAAACTTGGTAGGTTCTTATTTCACTCAAAGTTTGCCCATGACCCAAGGGTGTGTCATGACCTTGACCCAAGGTCATTTGGGGAAGTTCAAGGTCACTGGAAGAAAAATTTAATAATTCGTGTTTGATACATATCTTTATTATACAAAAACTTACTTCTGAAAAACCCAGCGGGGGGTATGTTGTCCCGATTGGACAGTTCTAGTTTTTTCAGATGAGTTAAAAGTTCAAAATTATCACTGCATCAAAAAGTGATTTTCTGCATATCCTGAGAAAATGATAATTCAATTCTTTAAAAATCTTCTTCTCTGCTCCTGGGTATCAAATAAACTAACTAAGTACATAGTTATGATGAGCAAGAGTGTCTCTTCCAAAATTGTGAATTTTATGGCCCAAGGGTCAGTGGTTCTGGTGTTAGGGCGGGGCTCTATTGATTATATAGTGAAAATACATGTATTCTTTGAAAATCTTCTTCTCTTCTCCAGGGTATTAAATAAACCAACTAAGTATATAGTTATGATGAGAAAGAGTGCCTCTTCCAAAATTGTGAATTTTATGGCCCCAGGGTCAGGGGTTCTGGTGTTAGGACGGGGCTCTTTTGATCATATATTGAAAATACATTAATTCTTTGAATATCTTTTCCTTTGCTCCTGGGTTTTATGCCAATGATCCAAGTATATATATTTATGATGAAGAGAGGTGCATCTAGCAAAATGATTATTTTTTATGCCCCCCTGGGTCGGGGGGGGGGGGGGGTTACATAGTCTGAAAATAAATTAATGCTTTGAAATCTGCTCTTTGGTATTAATCAACCATTTTATGATAAAATTTGCAAAATTTTGAAATATATGGCCCCAGGGTCTGTGGTTCCTTTGGGGTGAGGTGCAAAATTGGTTATAAAGTGGAAGTGCATTTTCTCTTTGTTACTCTGATCAACCTCTGGGTATTAAATAAATAGAGTTAAAGTTTATAATTATGATAAGCAATGGTGCCTCTTTCAAAATTGTGAATTGTGAATTTCATGGCTTCTGGTTTAAAACACAAACCAAAGTTAAATGTTTGAAAGTTGTTACACAATACTCAGGTGACCTATAAGGCCCGTGGGCCTCTTGTTTATTTGATGCATTAAAGAATATTCAACTGCTGGCATGTTACAGATAACAAGAGAAAAGGAGATGATATAGAGAGTCCGGGCTCAAAAACTCGACGTATGGACCAGAAGAGATGTGTAGATCTTATTGTGTTGGGATTACCTTGGAAGAGTACAGAAGAGGACATGCGCACATATTTTTCCCAGTTTGGAGAGCTATTATTAGTTCAGGTTTGTAAATTTAATAAAATGAATTTTAAATTAAGCCTTTACATATATTTATAGTGAATGTTAATGACCTCAGATTATTTATTCATAACATTTTTAGCTAGCCTGAGTGGAAAGCTCAAGTTAGCTTTTCAGTGATTCATTTTGAAAATGGTTATAAATTGCCTTTTAATGAAAACAGTGTGTCCCATTCCATAATCAATGCATCCAAATCCAAGGGTACCTTATATTAAAAAGAACAGCGTAAAATATGGTGAAATATAAGAGGGTATTGCACAAAAGTGTGAATGTTTTATGGTAGCTCTGAGTGTTTCATTCTATTATTATCAATGAAAAGCAAGCATACACGATTATGTGGCATGAAAATAATATATTGTCAACTGTGCACCTTGTTTTTATTTTTAGATCTTAAATACGATTTAGGACATTGTATCAGTCAAAAATGCACAGATGCAGACCAGTTGTTCTTCTGAACTAAGTAAAGAAAGATTAAAACAAAATTAAAAAAAAAATAACCATAAAGAAAAATGATCAGATACTTATTAGCTAAGATTACAGCTAAAATACATATGTATGTACACTTCAGAAATGTTCCACAGCAGACATAATAGAATTATGCCATGTATAACTTGCAGATATTTTAGATAGGGATGTCAAAAAGTTCCGCGATCGAACGTCCGAGTATCGAATACGAAAACTGGTACTCAGTTACTTGGATGTATATTTCTTCTTATTCCACGTATCAAAAACTTATCAAAAATAACTTTAATGTGCATACGATAATGAGAGTGCCAATACTTACACGTGTAAAACACCCGTTATCGCCTGTGGCTGTGTATATACAGTAATTAGTGAACAATCACCTGGTACACAGCTTTTCTGAACTATAGTGGTCCTTAATTTTTGGATGGCTTCAATGATTTGTTTTCATTGAGGATCGTTTAAGTATGTTGAACAGTTCTGTTTTTATCTTTAAATAAGTTTAAATCATTAAGTTAATGGTACCAAAATTCGACCTGCATAGATATGCCGCTACCGACTTAAAAATGTAAATAAATATTTTGTAAAACATGTAAATGAAGATTGAAATAAATGTTTAATGTCAGCTATGCCGAGTAAATTAATACACGACAAGGAATCCCAACAACGTCGGTTCCTTCTGCTTCGCTAGTGTGGTCATCACAACTTTAGGGGCGTTGCAAATTGATTAAAGCATCTTCCCCCCAAAAATGTATATCATTTATAAGTATTGGTGTATTAAATTGAAGTCTTTTGTGTGTATCTTTTAAAAATAAATAAAGTACAATAAATCATTTTCATTGGACTTGTATGTTTTAAACATGCACTAAAAAGGTAATACGTATAACATTGGTGTATAACTTTGCTTAACTGGGTTTAAGAAAATTAACAGACTTGTATTTACAATTTTACTGAGTACCCGGGTACTCGATCGGAAAAACGTCCGAGTAACCGATTATCAAATATTGACCGATTTGACATCCCTAATTTTAGAAATAAAGTCCGCGTTTTCATGAATGTTGCAGGATAACCTCCGAGGTCAAGAAATATTGTTTGAAAGATAAAAGCCGAGGCTTTGGTATTTCAAACAACATTTCGAGACCAAGGAGGTTATCTTGCATCTTTCATGACAACAAGGACTTTATTACTATTTTACAAAGAGCTTTAGAATAGGGCTGATCGTTTCTTCTATAGAGAAACAAGTTAGGTCACCATGTCTTGAATACGCTGTTTCATTTAACACCAAAGAATAAATTGGTTTGTTCACATGCGTATTGCAGGGAGACGATTTGAGCTGAAGCTGCATTAAAAATAGCCTTTTATTTATTATAAATTTGTTTCATAAAATTTTATATTTTTTTTAATGACGTTCATGATTTATTGGAGAATAATGTCCGGCATTTCTTTGATCTCGGCAATAATCATGGTAGAATGAAGAATAACCAATAAGTATTCATTGTTTTACATATTAATGCCCCTTGTCATGCTTTCAATTTGTCAGAAATCTAGGAAACTATAGCATGACTACGCTGTCAATAACATGTCTCACCATTTTGGCTATTACACTGAACTCTACTTTAGATTTTACATCATAGTCTATTCCTCAGCAGTTGAATTGGGAATTTTTTTTTCTTAAATTAATGTTTTTAGCTCACGTGAGCCGAAGGCTCAGGTGAGCTTCTCTGATCACATTTTGTCCGTCCGTCCGTCTGTCTGTCTGTCTGTCCATCTGTCTAGCTGTCTGTCTGTAAACTTTTCACATTTTGACTTCCTCTTAAGAACCACTGGGCCAATTTTGACCAAACTTAGTATAAAGCATTCTTGGGTGAAGGGGAATTTAAATTGTTTAATTGAAGGGCCAAGTCCCCTCACAAGGGGAGATAATCAAGAAAAGACAAAAATAGGGTGGGGTCATTAAAAATCTTCTTCTCAAGAACCACTGGGCCAGAAAAGCTGAAACTTATTTGGAAGTATCCTGGGGTAGTAAAGATTCTAAATTGTTAATCATGACCCCCAGGGGTAGTAGAGGCCACTATGGGGAATCAAAGTTTTACATAGTAATATACAGGAAAAATCTTTAAAAATCTTCTTCTCAAGAACTAATGGCCCAGAAAAGCTTAAACTTATGTGGTCCAAGCAATCTGGGGTAGTGTAGATTCTAACTAAATTGTTGAAATCTCTACTCCCAAGGGGTAGGGCACAATGGGGAAACAAAGTTTTACATAGAAATATATAGGAAAAATCTTTAAAAATCTTCCTCTCAAGAACCACTGGGCCAGAAAAGCTGAAACTTTTGTGGAAGCATCCTGGGGTAGTGTAGATTCTAAATTATTAAAATCATGACCCCCGGGGGTAGGGCGGAGACACAGTAGGGAATCCACATTTTACATAGAAATATATAGGAAAAATCTTCGAAAATCTTCTTCTCAAGAACCACTCGGCCAGAAAAGCATAAACTTGTGTGGATGCATCCTGGGGTAGTGTAGATTTCAAACTGTCTAAAATCGAAATAATGATCAGTGGGGTAGGGTGGGGTCACAATATGTAAATACAAGGGGGAAATCTGGTAAAGAACAGAATGGTCAAAGCTTCTCAGGTGAGCGATGTGGCCCATGGGCCTCTTGTTTGGCATTGGGAATGGTTCTTTACCGGTACCAGTTATATAAGGAAAAAGAACATTGTTATATTTCATTCTCGCATATAATAGTATTCCTTAAGATTATAGAGAAATAATAACAATTCAGAAAAATTATGTCTTGCTTATAAAGAGTCAATGACTATCTCTCGAAAATAAGATGTCACAAAAATGTTATCTACAGTAGTGTAGATTCAAGTTTGTTCAGATCATGACCCAATTTGGTCAACTGGGGCCACAATGAGGGCAGGGGGTGAAAGTTCTACTTTGGAATATTCATAGATAGCAAAAATATTTGTTTAGCTTATGCTAAAAGCTCTGGCTTCCACATCCATGTAAAAGTTATAGAAACAAGATTGTTCCCAAGTAACTTTAGTCCTTATCTGGACCAAATTTGCAGGGATTATGAAGCTAAACCATGGCAATACAATTAGACTAGACTTTCTTCCAAATGCTGTCCTACATTTCAGCTCACTTGAGCTAAACGCACAAATGAGCTTTCTAAACACTTATTGACTATCCTCCTTCTGTCTGTCTGCAAGTTTTTCAAGATAAGGAATTTTTTCGTCCATCCAAGCTGAAAATTGGCTGGTTGCTAGGGAAATTTCTTTACCCACGTTTCCATAGTAACCATGAACCAAAACATTTTTTATTTTACATACATGGTTCATAGTGCAAAGGAAAACTATATGTGGAAAATCTTCAAATTCTGAGAACCCTCATATATCACCTTTATGCCTATTTTGCATGATTTTAAGATGGAGCTGTTTATAACAGAGTTTTATTATCCTGAAGAATCTAAGTTATCAATTACATAGAGTAGAAAATAGTGATTTTAACCTCTTATGATGCCATATATACTTTCAAAATCAAAACAAAAGCAAGTTATTAATTAAATCAGGGGCTTGTTCAACAATTGCATATGCACACAAAAGTTGTATTATGGGAGTAATGAGTGTTTTCTGGCGATCGTTTGTGACAATAATTTTTACATTTTTAGTCTTCATGAAAATTCATGAACATTCATTACCTTGAGCTATTAAGTTTTTTCTTTAAACTGAAA